ATTTAAGATCAGTTCTGTGTCTAAGCCAAAGTGATGGAAATCATCCCTTAGGCATTCAAGGACAAACCTTTTTATTTCAATTCTATTATGTAAATCCATAACTGTGATGTACAGCTTTTCAAGAGATAAAGAGACGATTTTAGATGATTCATTAGGTATCCAGATTCCATTACACAATCTTGTTCAAAAACAGCCAGCAGCCAGGAAGGGTCTCAATCATTTAGAAATCAAAATGGAAATGTATTATCAGAATACTATTCCTAATTATCACATTTTAATTAAAATGTATTTATCTCAGATATATATTTCTTTTCTCTTTAGTATAATTTTCATCAGTCATGTAAACACTGTGGTAGATCACAATGTCAAGGTGTTCACAACTTTGAACATTGAACAGGATATGGTTTTATGATGACCCTTCAGTATTAGACACTTACAAAACGTAGATCAAAGTGTACAGTCATTATTCAAGATTACTTTCACTGTGTCACACAGGTTCGGGTCTAAGTTCCCTTATAAAGATTATTTACTAAATAAAGTAAACACATGATAGTTATTTAATTCTTTCACTACAGTTTCTTCTATTTGGGATAATTTATTAATAGGCTATTTATCAACATTTTACAAAGTAAATTGAATGTATTTTATTTTAATTGAATTTGATGAAACTTGAATTTTAGAAACAGTGCACATACTTTTAATTTACATATTTGGAACTGTTACTAATGTAAACAAATCCTACATGCTTGCATTATCTGCTTTGGCATAATTTATCCTGAAAAGAAAAAATCATCAGCTAGATAATGTAAAATATTATAAAATGCTTTTTATAAAATGAATAATTACATAGTTTTAGTAGTTCTGGAAGGAAAAATAAAGACTACTTTATCTAAAAAAAATTCTACTTGTAATATTTCTTTGAATTCTACCTTAATCTCCATGCCTAGATGAAATTTTGAAATAAAGTTGATTTTTGCTGAAAATAAGTTTAAGGAAGCCAAGAATTTTCACTCACTCTACAATCCTGCATTACT